ACCTGTTAAGACGATCTTCAAATCCCACCTCCAGCAGAGCTTTGACCTCGTCCCGAGAGCAGTGGGGGACATTGATTCCGAGTGGGCCTTGTTCCACTCTGCGATTGCTGAGGCAGCTGTTGCTAGCTGTGGTCGCAAGGTGGCCGGTGCCAGTCGTGGTGGCAACCCCCGTACCCGCTGGTGGACACCAGAGGTTCGGCGAGCGGTCAGGCTGAAGAAGGAGGTCTACAGGGCGTGGCTGATCTGTGGGTCTCCGGAGGCAGCAGACAGGTACCGGATAGCCAAGCGGGGTGCAGCAGCGGCAGTTGCTGAGGCAAAATCTCGGGCGTGAGAGGAATTTGGTGAGGCCATGGAGAAAGACTATCGATCGGCTCCAAAGAGATTCTGGCAAACTGTCCGGCGCCTCAGGAGAGGAAGGCAGCAACTCGCTCACACTGTTTACAGTGGGGATGGGGAGCTGCTGACGTCAACTGAGGCTATAGTCGGACGGTGGAAGGAATACTTTGAGGAGCTCCTCAATACCACTTATGCACATCCCGAGGAGGAACCAGAGCCGGGAGACCTGGGGATGGACTGTCCAATCTTGAAGGAAGAAGTTGCTGAGGTAGTCAAACAACTACACAGCGGCGGAGCCACGGGGGCAGATGAGGTTCAACCTGGGTATCTCAAGGCTATGGATTTTGTAGGACTGTCATGGTTGACTCGTCTCTGCAACATTGAGTGGGCATCGGGGGCAGTTGCTGTGGAGTGGCAGACCGGGGTGGTGGTCCCCAGAAGGGTGACCTGAGGGTGTGTTCCAACTATAGGGGGATCACACTCCTCAGCCTCCCTGGAAAGGTCTACTCCAAGGTACTGGAGAGGAGGGTCCGATCGATAGTTGAATCTCAAATTGAGGAGGAGCAATGTGGTTTTCGTCCTGGCCGTGGAACTGTGGACAGCTCTTTACCCTTGCAAGGGTGATGGAGGGGTCATGGGAGTTTGCCCAACCAATCCACATGTGTTTTGTGGATTTGGAGAAGGCTTATGACCGTGTCCCCAGGGGCACCCTGTGGGGGACGCTCCAGGAGTATGGGGTGGGTGGCTTTCTGTTAAGGGCCATTCAGTCCCTTGACCAGAGGAGCGTGAGTTTGGTCCGCATAGCCGGTAGTAAGTCAGACCTGTTGCCGATGAGGGTTGGACTCCGCCAGGGCTGCCCTTTGTCACCTGTTCTGTTCATTACCTTTATGGACAGAATTTCTAGGCGCAGCCATGGTGTGGAATATGTAGAGTTTGGTGGCAAGAGAATCTCGTCTCTGCTTTTTGCGCATGATGTGGTCCTCCTAGCTTCTTCCAGCTCTGACCTTCAGCTCTTGCTGGGTAGGTTCACGGCCGAGTGTGAAATTGCTGGGATGAGGATCAGCACCTCCAAATCTGAGACCATGGTTCTCGACCGGAAAAGGGTAGCTTGCCAACTCCGGGTCCGGGGAGAGGTCCTACCTCAAGTGGAGGAGTTTAAGTATCTTGGGGTCTTGTTCACGAGTGAGGGTAGGAGGGATCAGGAGATCGACAGGCAGATTGATTCAGCATCTGCAGTGATGCGGACGCTGAGCCGATCTGTCGTGGTGAAGAGGGAGCTGAGCCAGAAAGCCAGGCTCTCGATTTACCGGTCAATCTACGTCCCAATCCTCACCTATGGTCATGAGCTTTGGGTAATGACCGAAAGAACGAGATTGCGGATACAAGTGGCCAAAATGAGTTTCCTCTTTAGGGTGGCTGGGCTCAGCCTTAGAGATAGGGTGAGGAGCTCGGACATTCGGAAGGGACTCGGAGTAGAACCGCTGCTCCTCCGGATCAAAAGGAGCCAGTTGAGGTGGTTTGGGCATCTGGTCAGGATGCCTCCTGGACGCCTCCCTGGGGAGGTGTTTCGGGCATGTCCTGCCGGCAGGAGGCCCCCGGGTTGACCCAGGACATGTTGGAGAGGCTACATCTCCAATCTGGTCCGGGAACGCCTTGGGGTCCTGCCGGAGGAGCTGGTGGAGAAGGCCAGGGAGAGGACTGTCTGGAGCTCCCTAGTTGGGATGCTGCCCCCGCGACCCAGACCCGGATAAGCAGAGGAAGACGACGACGGCATAGATCATTTGGTGGGGATTTAATTTAATCTGCTGCACCTTCTCAGGTGACATGGGAGAGGGAGAGTGGGTGAGTGGGTTGCCATGGTTTTGTTGACCCCCAGCTTTGATTGCTGTGATAATTATCTGTTTGATTAGTTTTGAGCACATTATACTCCATTAATTTGCTTTACTACAATAAAATTGTAGAAAAGGTTTTTTTTTTCTTTTGGAGTCTCTGCGAATGTTTTAATGAGTGTATCGAGACGGCCTGACCTCAGCCTCGTAAGCGGCATTTCTTTGTTGCCTGCAATGCTGGGTTTTCATTCCACCTCATCAGCGCCACATGCTGATAACCGCCATGCCAAGATGCATATTAATGCAATAATATGCAAAGGAGTCCGCAACAACTATTGAAGGCAATTTAGGGATGTGTATCGGTGACATTTTTGCTATACGATATGTATCATCATACAGAGGAGATGATGCAATGTATCAAGATATATTGCGATACTGTTATGGTATTGCTGTTATGGTGTCTGAACCATAGCGATTTACATTGCAGTGGTGGAAACAAAACCCACTGCACACTGCTGCCAACTAGCGGAAGGTGTTTGAATTGCGCATAAGAAAAGAAAATACACAAATGTTTTCATGTAAATTCTTCAAAAAAAGTAGATACATAGCTTTTGAATATAAATATAATATTGCAGATAAAATCACGATATATTGCCATATCGATATTTTCTTGCATCTCTAGAAGGCATGAAAGCGAGCATACTTTTTAAGAAGCCTTGCATTTCTGTTTAAAATATCCGTTTCATTGGTCTAAAACAATATTTACATTTTCTGAGACACAAACCTGCATCATTAAAGGACATAAAGGAGACATTGCACACATTCAAAATATTTTCAAATGTGTATGTGTTGCACGTGCATAATAAATCTGGTAAACAAGAACACCTGTTGTTTACTTTGTTGACATGAGATAATGTATGAAAATGAATCAGTGTAACATGAGACCTATGCAGTTGCATGCTTGCTATGTCTATTGTCTATATTTTCAGAATGAGTTGTAAATGAGGTTTGGAAAAGGCTCTTGGAAAGGTGAAACATGAGGCCACCTCATCTTCAGTTTTCAGGTTTCTTCTTTCAAACACCTACAGTGCAGCCTTGACCTGTTGCTCCAGCAGTTCATTGGAAACTCACACCTTGAGACATGTGACCAAAACAATGCATGCATTTGCTTTGTTGGACACCTGTTAAGATTATGGTCAACAAAGACACAAAGAGGGATTTGAATAGCAGGAGAATAGCCGTGTTTCCACTGCAGAAGTCCCTGAATATTTCTGGAAGGGTGAAAACAGACCTGGAGATAATGGCTCAGTTCTCAGCTTTTGTGTCTACATAGAAATTCAGCCCAATCAGGACTTTGCTAAGACGTCAGCGTATGCAGCATGTCACTGCTTCAGAAATGAGTGACACCACTGATCAGTGACAAAAGCATTCACAGTCCTCAACATTGTATGTTGTAGTATGGTGTGATTTAATAGTCAGAGGACTGGGAGAGTGGCTGCAGGATGTAAAATTATGTGTTCAGTGCCCGAACGGAGCGCCATTTTTTTATGGTGACCTGTGATACATCAAAGCCCCGTGATTTCTGCCACATTATTTAGTGTTTGGAGTTTAAAAGTGGCAATAATAATGTAGAATCGGCCCTTTTGATGCCTCATTACTAAAAGCAGTGGCCTCATTAGTGACCTCTATTGCTTTCTCGGTGTGTTTGTTTCTGACCACAACTGAAAAGCCTCCCAGCCCAAGTTTTAGAACTGAAGAAAGTTCTCAGATTAAAGGCGAAACTTCTTCAAGGAAACAAAAAATGTACAGTGGTTATCAGATAAACTAAAGATCATCTTGTCCTGGGGGATAATCTACACTATCGTGTTATTTAGGAATAATATTGTCCATGAAGGATGCTGAGGTATCGAGTTTTACTCATTTTGCACCCTCCCTGTCTCTAGATCAGATTTGAAGGCAGTGTAGCTCATAGGGCTTTATTATGAAAGTCTGATATTTTACATTGTCATATGGGGCTCTACTGCCTCTCAGAACGCTCCAAGCATTAATAAAAACAATCACTCTGTTTTCTGTTAGTGTTTGATTTAATAAATACTTTCCTAAAGCAAGACATTTCAAAAAGTCTCCATTAGTTTCACCACAAACATGGAAATTTGCATAGAATCCCCTCTCATCTGTCTGGTCCCAACCCAACAAATGTTTGAGGATCTGACGTTGTTTACTGGGATAAAGAGAGGAAATGCTGGAGGGACTTGGTTTATCTGCTGGCCAAGGAATGTCTCTTCAAGATTCTAGCTGTGCTTGAGTACATCGTCTCTTTACTGTAGCTGAAATTATTTTACGTCTCCACACCACCGTTGCTCTATCCCATAATATTGAGGGTGACACATAAAATCTTTTACTTTAGTAATGCTATTCATCTGTTCTTGACAGACTGACCTGAAGCACTATAAACTAAAGTCGATCCATTCTTTTTGAAATGTTTGTCAATTATGGTAAATGGCCTGTATTTTTATAGCACCTTCTTGGGGTTCTACAACCCATCGACCAGGCGCACTTCTCTTATCCACCTGTGCATGTCTGAAAAATGATCCTGGTTAAAACACACGCACAATCCTCTGAAACTATCTTTATCCCTGGCTTTCTGTATTGCACGCTCTTTGACTTCAGTATCTTCAGGCACTAGTTTCTTTACGTTTCTTATCACATTTTATGTAAATTTGTATAACTTGTTCCAATTAACTGTGGAAATTTCTAATTTAGACAGCAGTTTCATTGGGTTTCTCCACACATGTTCAAGAGATCCTCCAATCACTTGTATTGCCATCTCTTCAGGTTGGTGGTGCCGTGAGGGAGGTTACAGGTTACACCGCCACTTATCGCCACACAATTTCAGTGGAGGAAGGGGGACCAGACGGTGACTGTTTACACATGAGAATTGGACATCACCACGTCATCGAGGGATATCCGGATTGTGTGGTAGTGGATGCTGTTATCAACTTCTTCATGGGACGGACGGACAAGGTGCGGCAGGTTGGCTTTGACCCCCGTCTGTCACGGGCAGCCCACCTGGGTGAGTGTTGGGCCTTTTCCATTGTTATCATAGAGGAACATGAGTTCATCCAGAATGGGAATAGAATGGGAGCTAAATTAGAATCTTTTTGTCGTTGCAGAGTTTTTCGTTGATGGTCTGGGCACTCTTCACATTGGCTCCTGTAGTGACATTGTCATAAATCACGCATCAAAGATCATCCTACCCTGGAGCAAAACGGAATCCCAAAAGGCCTATGACCATTTCAGATACTCGTCTATTGGAGTGGATAAAAATCTTCATAATGAAATCTACTATTTTAAGAACAGGTTCAAGTGCATGACCAGTCAATAAAAAACTGGACTTTATTAATGAGACTGACAACTGCTAATTTTCTCAGGTAAATTAAAACTTTTTTTGCACTGTTGTTACTCAGGTTGGTGTGGTTATACTTTTGAAGTAGTTATTGTGTTTCCAACAAGATATTTAAACTATTTTGTCAAAGGTCCTGCCATGTGCCTGTTAAAGAAGCTTAAGTCGAGCTTTTCTTATTTTTTGGACACTCTTCGTCATTGTGTTATCTTTTACACTGTGTGAATTTACTATTTACTTCTGATGCTTTACAGTTTTCTGAAAGATTTTTATTGTCTATTGTCATGTTATGTAAATTATCAAAATAATATATAACAAGTAAAATGGTATAGTCTTGTAGGACAAAGAAATAAATGCAGTCATTTCACGAAGTGAGTTAAGAATTCAACAATCATGTTTGGATTTACTTTGAGGTATTAGAAAAATGAGAAGAGTTATAACCACTAAAGAGGCTGACCTCTGTTAATGCCACAATATTCTCTGTCGCCGCAGAGGGATTGGACTTGCACACTTCTCATTACCATAATTCCTGAACCATTCAATATATCATTAAAATTCCAAAGGAAGTGATTGGTAGTCATTCCACTCCAATCCAGTTGGTGGCGGTAATGCACCAAATTGTTGTTTGCCAAGTGCCTTAAGACCACAAATAATAAGAAGAGAGGCGGGATAGTTTGTAACAAACTCGAAGCGGTAGTCAGAACATTAAGCATGAAATGGAGTTATCCTAGTGGCTCCAATAAGATAAAGAAGCAGCATGCTTCATAAAAGCTTTTATCTTCACTTCTGAAAGTGACGTTGTTTTTCGATGTAAACATCAAAAGGAAGCAGAAAGGAAAAACAATGGAAAATGTTTAAAGGGAGGAAAACATAGACCAAAATGGAAAATAGAAAATAAAAACTAAGGCAAAAGCACAGGAGCACTGACAGGAAAAAGAAAGCAGAGCAAATATTGAAAGCGCTCAAAGGGAGGGAAATATAGGAAAAAAGAGGAGGACTAATAAAACGGGAAAGTAGCTCATGTCAGAAGAGGGGAGAGTCTTGCAAATCCATTTAAAGGTAAGATTGTCGAAAATTTAGTGTAAAGGGCCTCATGTCTGTGTTCACCTTGGGCCCCCAAATTGCTAAATCCGCCTCTTATCAGCTTGAATCAGTCGGCCCATTCTCCTCTGACCTATAGCATCAACAAGGCATTTTCGCCTACAGGACTGCCGCATACTGGATGTTTTTCCCTTTTCACACCATTCTTTGTAAACCCTAGAAATGGTATGCGGCTTGGGGTGGGAGGCTGCGGGCGGGCCTGTGGGCTTGCCGCTGAGATCTCCCAGGACTCTGCCGACTGCGGGTTGTGGTCCCCCGGAGCAATCCTCTGCTCATCTCGAGAGGGGACTGGGGCTTTTCTGATTACGGTCTCCCTGAGGTCCATGCGTTCTGGGGCAGCTCCTGGATCTCTGGGACTTGGAGCTCCCTCCATCTTCTATGCATCTTTGGAGGCAGATCTGTGGCCCCTCACACTCCCTATTGGATGCTCCCTTAAAGAGCTCCCTTAAAGAAACCTTACATATACAAGCGCGTGTACACACACAGGTGCTCTCATAAGTATGGACTAGGCACATTCAACACGTCTTAAGGCTGTGGTTGGCACTTAATGCACTGTGATTTATTATCGTGATTGTTCAGTAAAACAATGTTGATTTTATATTTCCTCATCAGGTTGACACAGTGATAGCTTGCTCTTGTATTGTTTTGTGTTGTTTTTCTCTTCTCTTACTGCAGGTCTAGAAGCAGACTCTTGTTCATCATTGATTGTTTATTTTTGTGGAAACACCCCCCGCCCCCACCCCCACACCCCACCATCTCCTTTTGTCTCTTCCTCTATCTTTCACCTCTGTCTCAGTGTCTGGTTGGAATTATAAAGCATTCAAAAAACAATAACAATAAAGTTTTAAGTATCAAGCGTGAAATTAAAGTAGAAGCTTTGATGCTCCACTTGAGAGCATTCAGACATCAATTCTGTTTGCTTCACAGCCAGACAGGGCACGGAAAATAAATAAATAAAAAATAAATGGTTATACGTGAAAATCCCAGTAACTGAGCAGATTGTGAAATACTCAGAACCATGCCATGCTCAAAATAGCTTAAATCACCTTTCTTTCCCATTCTGACATTCATTTTGGAGTTCAGGAGATTGTCTTGATCAGGACCACACCCCTAAATGCATTGAAGCAACTGCCATGCCCAGAGGTGTTTAGCACATGTTGGCCCCTTTGTAAATGGTCATGAAAATAAAGAAAACACATTGAATGAGAAGGTGTGTCCAAACATTTGGCCTGTACTGTATATCATACCCGTTTGCGTTAGGTTTAACAATTGTGTGATTTTCTGGTTGACTCCTGTTTATGTTTGTGTTTAGCAGACTGTTGCCTTAAGTGGTTAAAAAAAGACTTGTTGGATTTGCTGTGAGTGTGAAAGCTCCTTTCAACTTCCACGAAAGTTGACTGATGGCAGACAGATTGTTGCTATTGCATCGTTTCACCACAAGATGGAAATAAAAGATCAGACTAAACATGCAGACACTGATGTTACATCTGTTTTTAATTCTGCTGTGTCTTTGCATTTGAAACTTGATCATAAGTAATAATTTTTATCAATTTTTTTATTAGAGTATTTATTATATTTTAATGGCAATGTAAAAAATAATCAAAATCCACAACAATTTTACATAATTTTTCCACAGTACTTCACATAATTGTTTGGTTTATATTATTGTATGATTTTTTTTTCCTTGCAAGTAAAACAGGCACATTTATGAACCGCAAGTATCTACTATAGCCATGCTTATCTGTTTATAAATGGGTAAGACAGTTCACCTCTGTTGCACAGTTTGCACTGTCGTTGTAGACACACACACACACACACCATTTCTTCTTTAATTTCTCTGCATGCTTTGGCCTGACTGTAGATTACAGCTCAGCAAACATTTGGCCAGATTGTCTACCATGTTCTAGTTGAAGTGGACTACTTCCTGCCAATTAATGAAACACTCCTTGAGCTTTAAAGAGAAAACCCCAAAGGATGTGTCTAGGGTCCTGCCAGAAATATGCACCAGAAATTAAATAAGCAAGTACATAATGAGTTTATTTATTTATTTATTGTCTTCTTTTAAAATCATGGTTTTGAACTCTTCGTAAATATAATTTTATCAGGTCAGGGTATGAGGAAGGAGATGAGTAGGGAACACACAGCCGTCATACAGCAGAGGGCAGCACTGAAGTAAAATAAGATGTTTAATGCCTAACTTGACTTTTTTATGCTGACATATTTGCACTGAAGCTTATTTCTTTACATTAAACAAACCAAAACCTTTCATGTGGATCCTCTTGCCACGTTTGTGTCTTTTTTTTTTTGTCTTTGTCAGTTGAATCAGATTCTGTATTCTTCATCCTTCATCAGTCTAGCAACAAATCCGCAGCATCCCCATTTGCACAAAGACTTCTGTTCTCCTTCTTCGAAATCTGGGGAAAGTACGTGCTTCACATTCCACAGGAACACCCTAAACTCTAAATATTAATTCCACCAAAACAAAAGATAGCTGGATATATGAATTCTATTTACTCTGCAGAATTAAAACAAATCCAGCTTTTTTCAGGGAAAAAAACTTTATTTTACTTAAAAGTTTCTGGATGACACGGTTTCTGTGGAAAAAATGTGTTTGTCAAGTTTAAATACAAATAAGTAAAGTCATTATGAAAATTCATCCAATGTAAACAGCAGCATATTTAAGCTCCGCTTCCACAAGTTCTAAGTAAACTGTTCAGTGCACTTTATAGTTGGAGCCAACCAAGAAACACAAGCTAAATAAATATTGTAAAGCTGAAACTGTATAAAACATTTCTGTTCCTCAGGTTTGACTAAATGTGTGTGTAGTGCAGTAACTCGGTGCAATCTACAAAAACAACAGCTAACCATTAGTAGAATAAAATGTGCTACAGCTGGCTACTTTAAAACACTGGTTCACAGCATCAACCAAGTGCTGCACGGCTCCCATTCAGATGATCGGCATGATCTTTGCCATAAAATCTTTTTTTTATTTTTTTTGTCCAAGACACCTGCTTCAGGTAAGCATGACTCATCAAGGTTCAGACCCAAATGGTTGTGGTGTTCTCTGAAGGCTTTTCCTGAGTCAAACAACAGTATTATTAGTTAATGATGCAAATAATGTAAAAAAAAACTGCTGAAACCAAAATATAAGATATTAACCTTATGTTGCTGAATATATGTAACGGCATCATGAATGCTCACAAAAATATGTTGAGGGTTCATGCTGCTCATCAGGCCGCTTGATGTCAGGATCTTTAACACATTTTCTAAAAAGAAATTCCCAGGAAAAAAGTTTGTAAAGGTAGTATAACAAAAATAATCAGCAGCAAGCACATATTCTGGATTAAAGGGTCTTACCCTTGCAGTTGGCTAAATATACGTGAATGCCAATTTTCTGGCAATCCGTGCACATCTGCAAGAGGCAAAGAGCTTTCATAAAAACATGGCAGAGGACAAAAATGATTAGGTGGAATCTCCTCTTTATTTATTTATTTATTATTATATTTAGCTGGCCTACCTGTGTGAAGAGTCTCGCTCCAGCAATGTCAACAAAAATCACACTGCTGCAGTCAATCAGCACTGCCTGCACATCGTTCTCTAAAGCTTCTGAAAGTAAAGAAAAATGTCATCTTGATTAGGTTTAGTTTGAGAAAAGGTGTAAAAACATTTATTTCCAGTATAATCGACCTGATTTGAAGATTTCAGTTTCTGAGGAAAACAATGTGTTTGCAATGCCTCTCTCCTAAATGGATATGTTTGGATAAAACAAGATTAAAAAGCTTGTAAAGCACAGCGACCCATAAAATCCACAAATCAGCTGGTGACTGTTCAATCGTACCACGGTGCTGACAGTGGCTTCTCTCTCCCGTTTCTCTACAGCTTTCCTGGCCTTTTCATGCCTGCGAATCTTCTCCGGTGTCAGGCCCAGCAGCTTGCTCATTTTATCCCTGAAGAAGCTTCGGTTGCCATAGTAAATGGGTCCGTTGTAGGTTAGGATCCTCACTCCAGGCACTTCATTACACTTAGGGTAAAGCAAGAAGGTCTCAAAACGTCTTCCTGAATCAGGCCTCAGATGGTACATATTTGAAATATCAGTCATATCGTTGCTCACCTTGCTGTGTTTCTCTACAGGTCTGTATATTTCTGTGTTGCTCGCTTGTCCAAGCACTGAACAATCCGCCCTGTGAAATAATCATAAGTTCTGCTGATCAGTTTCATTTCTATACATTACAATTCACTTATACAAGTTCTACAGTACTGGGATGTTAGTCTATATGAACATTTGTAGATGTAATTACATGACTTCCCCTGCTGCCATGACATTTTCTGTTGTTGGATTGCTTTAATTAGTTTAAGAGGGAATAAATAATGTACCTTTGTGTGCGACAGATCACAGTCATCATGGAGAAGACAACTCCGATAGCCAGCCCAAGGTCCACATTGAGCACCACCACAGAGAGCCAGGTAACAACCCAAACCATCTGCAGAGAGAAATGAGCTTAGGACTTAGAAAGTCAAACAGAAAGGTGTTTGTATCAGAGTAGAATTAAAATTAAAAACTTGATTTAATCTATGCAGTTAAAAAATGTAATTGGAAGATTATTTACAGCAAAGAAATGCAGTTTTTATATTAAACTATAACTGATGGATTGCAAATATATTTTAATGAGGAGGCATCAAATGACAGCAGACAAATTAGCTTACAAAAATTTTGCTAGATGAGGTAAATAACTGAATATGTCATGTTTTATTTATTTATTTTGTATTTATTTATTTTTTTTCAGTTTTTTTTTCAACTTTACTTCTAAACTCTATAAAAGAGCCTTACAAAATCCAGTTTGCTAATTCTCCAGAGTTCAGGTAAGTCCTGGAATTGCAGGAACATCTGCCTGAGGCTGGTGACATTTATGCATGCCAAGACCGCCTAAGGACAGAGAAAAAAGAAAATATGAGTGAAAAGTATTCTCATTTTTTTGCACTTGTACACACACACACACACACACACACACACACACACACACACACACACACTAGTAAACCTTTGGTAAGAAGTAAAAGAGGGGTCCAATCAGCAGCAGGACAATCAGGACAACCAGACTGGTGAAGAGGCCAGAGAGCTGCAAAAGGGACATGAGCAAACACACAAAATAAGTTTCAATCCTATTCATCTGATAGGAGTTTTTGTGTTAAAACTGGTGATTCGATGTTCTCCACAGCTCCCCTGTAGAGTGGTGTTCCTCAGGGGTCCATTCTTGGGCCCTCTTTTATTCACCCTTTGCCTTCTTCTTCTGGGATTTATTTTTCAATGGTTTCAAGTGCCTTTTCACCTCAATGCAGATGATAGCCAAATCTTAGCCGTGAGGAAAACTGTCCAGCAAAACTGTTGGAGTGTCTAACGGAAGTCCTGGATGTATGTGAAGTTTCTGAATATCAATGAAACCAAAACTGGGTTTTTACAAATTAGGTCTCGAAACGCAGGTGGTAACTTTCTGGACGTGGGACCATTCACCCAGTTTCCTAAGCCTATTGTCTCTAATCTAGACGTGAAAATTGATGAAAGTTTTAGTTTTAATAAATATGTTTTATTAGTGCTTTATAAATATATTGGATTTGGATTCTAGAGGAGTTTGATATGGAATCAGCATCTGTGTTTAGAGATGTGTTTATTAAACATCATGTCTATCATTGTGGAGGCAAGGTTGACTTCTTCAAATTGTGATGCACGCTACCTGTGTGTGTCCTCCAGCACTCTCAAGTATGTTGGTTGTGGCCAGAGTAGCTGAGCTCGGAAAGCAGGTAAAGAAGGAGGACACCGTGTTGGAGATTCCATGGGCAAGCAGCTCCTGAAATCAGTCGCAGATTGAATAGAATGTGTTCACAAAGTCTGTTAATGATCAGGTTAGAGATATTCATGAGTTTTACCTGGTTAGGATGGATAGAATATCCATGTTTATCAGCATAAATCATTGCTAGTGAGACAGACACAGCATATCCAACAAACGTGATGGCAATCGTGTCTCCAGCTATGGCAGGCAATGTGTGGAAGGCAGGCAGCTGTGGCTTCGGGAACCTAGAGATGAGAAAATTAGTCATTAATAGTCCAACTGTTAATTTAGTACATAAAGTTTTTTTTAATTACCCAGCTGGGATGTGGCCAACTATCTCAACATTGTAAGAAGAGTTGAGTGAGGAGGCGTACGTCACACCAGTAGCAATTATCACCTGAGAAGTCCAACCATAAATTACGACTAGTTTTTATTAGCATGAATCTTTCTGTCTTAAAAAATTCAGCTGACTGACCGTGAGGATCTCCACAGGGATCGGTGTACGTAGGCGGCGCCGACAACGTGTGTTGACCTCTTTGACTGGGACCAGAACCGCCAGACAGACCATAGAGATCAACAGCTCTGCCGTGTTGGTGTTAGCCAGGTTCTGCATCACCAGAGCTAAAGTCTGAGCACACCTCTCACTGAGTAAACTGAGCATACGCTGCTGAAACGGGAGCAGTTTTGGAAAAAATCATCATCACATAAGACTCGGATCACCTTGAAGAGAGAGAAGGTCCCAGTGCTGCGAGGGAGCCGCAGACCCAGCATGCTTTGCAGCTGTGAGATGGCCACATGGAAGGCAGCAGCACTGGTGAAAGCTTTAACGATCGGCTCTGACAGATAAGTGGAGAGGAAGCCCAGCTGAAGACCAAACATGCAGAGCTGGAGCACAACCAACCATCATGAACATTGGAGCTAGTCTTTTTAGACATTTACTTTATTTTGTCATCTGACTCACCATGACGACGCCTGAGAGAAGTGCTACAGCCGAGGCCACTCCAATTCTCTGGGCCTCAAAATCAGCTGCTTCAGGCGAGCTCGAGTTCATCTCCAGAGGAGTGGGGACCAGCTGCTCCACTACAGAACCCGTCATCAGACTCACCACAGCAAAGGTACCTGAGAGAATACACTTATGACCTTAAGAGCATAAATGGTGTTCTGGAAGATTAAATAATGTTGGTTACATTTTTATATTTAACGCTTGGCCGTCTTACCTGTAGAGACATGGCGGCCTGTGCCGAAAATCATGTACAAGACTACTGGGAAGAAGGAGGTGTAAAGGCCAAAAATTGGTGCCACTGATGTGAGTAAAGCAAAGGCCATGCCTGAAATAATAAATAATTTAATATTACGTAAAATACATGTAAAATACAACAACTCTGGAGCTTTTTGCCGGCCGTCGTCAAATTACAACTGTGGGCTCTGCAGTGTTAACTCTTAGGAGACACAAAACCCCCACTCTCACTGATGGTAAACAGTAGTTTCGTCCCTCCTTCCTTTGAAAGGAGAAAAACTGACAATCCCCACAGCAGCTGGATATGAAAGATGTTTCAGTACAACCTTCCTTCCATGATGACTGGAACATTAGACTTTTTTGGGAATTTCTCTATGGAAAAGTTTCACTAATTTCTTACATACCGTACCTTTTCACTCATTCACTGCCATTAAATACAAAAGTCATCAATGGTAGAAGAAGAAAATATCATTTCTATAGCGCCTCTCAAGATAAAATTCAGGAGGTGCTTCACAAAAACAAAAAATGTAAAAATATCAAAAATAATTTGGAAAATGGTTAAAATATATTTTAAATGAGCAAAAAATAGACAATTGTGATCAAAAAAATGTTAAGAAAGAGAGAGTGATTAGGGAAGAGGGAAATCAGTGGATCCTGCGGGAGAGCAGAATAAAGAGAGTGGTGAAGGAGGTCATACAAAAGCCACTTTGAACAAGCGAGTTTTCAGCTGCTTTTTTAAGGAGACCACTGAGTCCACTGGTCTCAGGCTCAGGGGGAGAGAGTTCCAGAGTCTGGGGGCCACAGCAGCAAATGATCTGTCACCTTTGGTCTTTAGCCTGGTGCGCTGCACAACCAGTAGGCTTTGATCACTGGACATCAGGGACCTGCTGGGGGTGTAGGGACTAAGAAGATCACCAATGTAAGACGGTGCTTGTCCATGTAAGGCCCTATAGACCAGAACCAGGATCTTGAAATGAACCCTGAAGTTGACTGGCAACCAATGAAGCTGGAGGAGAAGCGGGGTGGTGTGGGTGTGTTTGGAGGACTTGGTCAGAAGCCGAGCACAGGCATTCTGAACCACCTGTAGACGGTTCAGGGAGGCTCTGCTCAGACATGTGAAAAGAGAGTTACAGTAGTCTAAGCGCGAGGAGATGAAGGTGTAAATAACCATCTCAAGTTCAGAGTGGGACAGAATGGGACTCAGCTTAGCAATGTTCCTGAGATGGAAGAAGGAAGAGCGAACAAGAGAACTGACACGAGAGTCCAGGGTGAGAGCTGGGTCAAAGGTCACGCCAAGATTCCTGACAGAAGGTTTGGCGCCAGAAGCAAGCTGACCAAGAGAGTCTCTTACTTTGGGAACCAGCTTGTCTGGGGCACAGATGAGGATCTCAGTCTAATCTTCGTTCAGCTGTAGAAAGCTCCCAGCCATCCAGGTTTTGATAGAATCTAAGCAGGTGTGTGACAGCTGCAGCTTAGACATCTCATGGGGCTTAAAGGAGATGTACAGTTGGATGTCATCTGCGTAAAGATGGTAGGAGATTCCTTTGAAGGAGCTCAGGATGTGCTGAAGAGGACGCAGATAGAGGAGGAAGAGCAGAGGCCCCAGCACAGAACCTTGTGGGACACCATGGGTAAGGGTGGAGGACCTAAACTTGGAGATGGCCACAGAAAAGGAACGCTCAGGAAGATAAGAGGAGAACCACTCCAGAGCAGTTCCTGATAGGCCTACCCAGTCTCAGCCTCTCCAGTAGCAGGTGATGGTCAACAGTGTCAAAGGCTGCAGTTAGGTCTAGCAGGTCCAGCTCCTGCACCTTGAAAGTAAACATCCGGCTCTAAATCTGATCTCCACCCATGTGTGTCACAAGTCACATGATCAGGAAGCAGTTTGGGACACTGCTGTGAAAAAAGCAAGGTGCCTACCAGAAAAGCTTCTGTAGCTCACACTTCGACGATGGAATGTGAAAGAACAAAAATAGCTAGAAACACAAAGTCTTCCTGATGTAAGAAGTGAGTCTGTCTTTTGGTAGTTTTGGTGTTTACGTGGCCATAGATCACAATGTTCTGTGACTCTTCAAAAAACAGTAAAAATGGGCTCAAACACTGGCAGTCAGGGGCTTTCTGATCAGAAACCAGTTAATTACCCTTTGAAATTGTTTGCTTCTATGATAAGGAGTCAAATTAAAATGAGAGTAAAATACTCTAGACATAAACACAATCACAGTAGAAAAGAGGAAGGAATACAGGAGGTCTCCATAATTTTGTCTGTGCTCAGGTTGTGAGGTTTTTAAGATTATATTACATTTATAATATAACAATAACACACCCAATGGTAAAATCTAGCTCTGTGCAAGAGGCAGACCTCTTAGACTCATAGGCGGAGTTAGAGTGACTACTTGAGCTCAAGCCCCAGATCTTTTTCAATCCTAAATCCACCCCTGCTCTGAACTATAACTGTGAAAAGTTTGTAATTATTCACTTTTAACTGTGTGCATGCAGGTGAGTTGAGGGGCCCTGGCTTGTCTTGGATACAGGAAAGGGGTCCTTATGAAAAAAGGCTGGGAACCACTGCTTTAAGTTATAACAGAAGGTAGTTTACAGTCTAACGATCAGCAGCAGGAATGATAAAAATAAATGATTCCTATTATTTTACAAAGGATACTCTTTATATTTTAAAAAACTATGAAATGTTTCTTTTTTGTTTTACACAAAGTTTTCAGTGTGGAGGAAGGGTCACTGAATTGTGCTTAAAATTGTCACTGTTTAAAAAGTTCAGAAATTTTTATTATTATTATTGTTGTTGTTGTGGTGGTGGTTGTAGTGTGCACAAACCTTGAGGAATATGAAGAATCCCAACAGTAAGTCCCGCTACAGTATCTCCTAAAATCCATTTCTTTAGTCTGTATCTGGGCAGCCAGCTGAAAATAGGAACCCTCTCCTTCGCCAGGTGAAGGCACGCTTGCTTTGAACACCTGCAGGTGCCGGCCAGCTTGTCCCGGAGCCGCAGACTTCCTCTGGTGTCATCCTCTGAGCCGTAGGCCTGTTTGAAGCGGTCCTCTGAGTAGATGTTTCTACAAACTGCCACAGAAGCCTTCATATTGTCTTACACAGCCAGCTGGTGATGGTTATCCCTCCAGGCACAGTGGCTCAATCAGTCATGGTGTTGTTTTAGATGTAATAAATACGGGACAGATTGTCCTGACCTCAGGAGCCATCGTCTTTTCCTGTCTGACTCTTCGTAGCCAATGACAAGGCTCCCAGCTCAGTTTTTTGTTTTTTCTTACAGTGCTGACCAAATTTTTTCCCACATCTTGGGCCTCCCTCAGACATCATAAAGGTGTACCACTTCATTTTTTTCTCTACAGAGGATCTCTGGGTCCTACTGCTAAAGCCGTTATTGTCCATTAGAAAATCTGCTTATATTCGTTTTAACAGTTCTATTTAAAAACACATAACTCCCAAATACAAGGTTGAAAAATAGAATCAACTCTAAATATAAAAAGTTGAAAGAAAAAATATAAAATCTGATCTGAATTAATATAAACAGTAAAATCTAAGTATTTAAAAAATGATCTCAAAATGTAAAGTTAATTTTGAATATTTAAAATGAAATTTAGACATGTGATTTAAACATGAAAAACTTGTATCCAACATTTTTCAAATAAAATCCATGCATGAATGTTTTCAACCAAATCCAAATACAATGTGAGTTTATGTATTTATTGTGTAGTGTTACAACTAAACTGTTGAAGATCAGAAAACAAGGTAAACAGATTAACTAACATTGTTGAATTTGTCAGATGATAAAATTGTGACTCTGATTGTTTAATGATCATTTTTAAATGTGCAGGGAGACCATAAGGAACACAATCCTACCATAAAAGGGTTTGTTTAGTCTTAAATCATCACATTTACATTTCAATATTTGAATGTAAATATTTATACTACTATATATATTTGAAACATACTTAATGCTTATATGTTTAAATTACATCTAAGTGATGATGTTAAAAATAGAAAAGACTAAAGTCTAAATAGAATACATTACATCCAAATCTTTAGAATTAGTTTCCCAGATGAACCGGATTAAAAATGTGACATTTAAAAATCCACATTTCATTTTTTGTTATCTGGATTTAATTTAGATCCCCCCATAAAGCCCCCCCCCCCCCCCCTCTTCACACACACACACACACACACACACACACACACACTTTCACACTGCACAACCAAGCAGCAGGCACAAGCCCAGAGGAGGCACAGTTGAAACATTGTGTAGACGCCCAAAGAGATCAAAGTAGTCTTGTTGACAGAGCTCAGGTGTAACATCAAACCTTGTCTGTTAGCGAGGAGTTCATTTCCGAGACGGATGGATGTCTGTAATGGGTGGGTGTTTAAATTGTGTAGCCATAAAGGGGGTGGGGGGTGTCTGCTTGGGACCCACAAGGCCTCATTGAAACTCAATCAGACATGGAAAACTGGTTCATGGATCAAACCGCACCAAGACTCTGATCACAGATTGTATTCGATGAGTGAGATGTTGTTTGTTAAAGATGAATAAATACAAAAGCGCTTTGGACAAATACAACACATAAAGCAGGATGTGTGTTTATCAGCTAATTATCTGCAACGTGCAGCTTGGAGCTTTAACTGTCTGAACAAACTACAAGTAGTCTTAGTATTAACAAAGATGAAGAAGAAGGAAATCCCAAACAAAAGAAAGCTTGAGTTTGGCTGGTGGATGTGAAGCAAAGGGAAGCGAGAATTCATTTCTGCTCTGCTTTTGGGCACACTGAATTAATAATCTAACAAGGCTACGTGAAGAGCAGAAGGCTATGCTGTTACTTTATTATTGTTGCAAAGGACAACACCTGCATAAACCTCTGACAGAAGGGGATCGAGTCTGCATTTGTGAAATCAAAATATTGTGCACAAGTCATTCCGGCAATAACAGGTTGGAATGCATTTGTTAGGGCAAGACAAGTACGTCTCACGGCTATGGAATAAAATATGAAGAAAAGTTGGTGTTTTTTTTTATATTGCATCACTTTTAAGTTTCAAGGATAAAACCATTACATTTAACTCCATCCACACAACTCCTGACATTTTGAAAAACTGGGCTTTTTATGCTGTGATTGCACTTTATCTAAATGGATGCCAGATATTCAGAAAAAAATTACAAATCACCTTTTTTATACATATCTACATTTAGTTTCAGACAAAAGCAACAGAGCCATCACCATATATTTTTTTTTACTTTGTCATTCAATATTGGAGTAGAAATTGTGTTCATTGTTTTTTTCTCTATATTTGTATGTGTTGATATTTTTGGCACTCGTCACCTAGGTAGGAACATTTTACTTTATTTTTTTTAAATGTGTATAAATATTTTCATAAAAAACAGATGTGGTGTTTTGCATCATACCATCATACTAGCGGAGATATTTAGCAGGAGATTCCATAGAAGTTGTAAATTGCCTGTGCTAAATTCACAACATAGTAACAATGACTTAACAGTTATTTATATGTAAAGACGGCCTGTCTTGACCTCATTGTTATTACCCTTTAGCTCTTCTTTCCATTCAGGACTAATAACTCATTGTTCAAAGAGCTGAATTATTCCTTTAATATTGTGGACATAGTTTTTCAACAGTGCTCGGGGACCAGATTAATCTCTGATTGAACATTATATTTAATTTCTACTAATTCTGAAGACTGGCAGGGAAAACATGACCTAATTTGTACTAAACCCTTCCCGTGCTGTTCTATAAAACCGGGCCTGGAGTTACCTGGGGGGTAAGTGAAGGGTCCAAGGATGTGTTGCTGATGCAAAGCACTGCCAGAGCACTGAAACTGATAGAGGACGATTAATCCCAATCATTTAAACTCAATGCAATGAGCATACATCCACACGAAGACTTGTTGTTGTTCCTGAGTCATATTCCTTGAATTTCTGTCTCTGATGGAGAGGAGGAGCAATGATAGAAGGGACTTCCTTTAAATTCCAGGAATGTGTGGACCATTGTGTTGATCAGCTCCAGAGGATTTATCAACACACCAGCAGAGATGTGTCTGCAGACTGTTTAAACAAGATATTAATCTGCGGTTAAAGGAACAATGCACTCAATGGAAAAGGATATGAGTATGTTAACCCCAAACTAGATTAAACCACTCTGCTCTTTCATAACAGTCATTTGTCTAAACTGTGCAAATGTAAACATCAGAGTGGCAGACAAAGCCATAAAGTGGCATTCTTTACACAATATAACCAGGATTATTGATGTTAGCCTGAAAACAACAACCCTCTGCACAAGAACCACAACAAGAAATGTGACCTTTTCTGGCAGGTGTGTGACAAATGATAATTTGTTAGCTTTTTAACCAGAGTAGTATGAAATGCTCTTTACTGACCAAGTTTAGCAACCATGACAATGCTACTCATCTGCTTTCTGTGATATGCTGGGTGAATCTTCATCCCCCTGATTGGTTCTGAAGTGGGGAGTTCCACAGGGTTCCGTACCTTTGCTATTTTCATTGTACCTCTTCCCATTGGGCAAACATTTTGAAACATTAAATTTAATTCCACTGCCAGGTATGTTTTCCACAAAGGCAGGAGCTTAATGGTTCCATCCAAATCTCACTGTAAACCCAAATAGTTGAAAATAATCAAATATTTTGAGGATGTCATAATTTTTAATTTGTTTTTTGAACTCAAATGTGCTGAGTTAGTTCTGCTTTTTCCTTGTTTTAAGTACACAGAATTCAAGCTTTATAATTAATCTGAGTAATTCCCTTTTTTAGTAAACGTAACCTAAACAAATTAATAACATACAACTTAACTGGAATGAGTAATCATAACGAAAAAGTGATTGACTTATAATGTTATGTTTCTACTTTATTCTATTTATTTTTACGACACCTTAAAGTGTGTTTGATAAACAGACATATATATTTTTTTAAATATTTGTGGACCTAAAGGAAAATTGTCCTTAGTTATTACTTTGTTCAGTGTTTTAAATGTGGTGTTACTTGTTTTGTCATGTTGGCACCATAAGTGAGGAGGTTGGTGAAGGGAATGACCACGCTGTGACGTTCCTCTGTCGTTACAGTTTTTTTTCGATTGCTAAAACACGTTTTTCAAAACTGTACGTTTCTTTCAAAACTGCACACACAAAACCCCAAACATAACACACAAATTGCTAAACCGTGGCTTCCCTTGTCATGTTCTGTGTCCCTTTGTTCCCCAGCCCTCCAGTTCCCACTTCAGGTTCTCCTTTTGTGTTTCATGGCGCCCTCATGTGTCCTTTGTCTGCGTCTTTCCCCATGTGTCTCCTAATGTTTCTCCATCCCTCTCTGGATTCCCTTTTGTGTTCTCTTAGCGCCCTCATGTGTCCTTTGTCTGCATCTCTGTTGTGTGTCTTAAGTTATAGCCACAGCCTCTTGTTCCCCAGTTCATAGTTTGTGTGTCTCAGTATGTGTATGTGTTTGTGTGAGTTCTTCCCTTAGTCTTTAGGTTTAGTTTTGTGTTTTACATAGTGTTAGGTTTATCTGCCCTCCACTGGTTCTCTTCCCCATCCAGATAATTGTTGTCACCTGCCTTCCCTCCAGCCTCACTCCACACACCTGCTTCCTGTTTCCCTAATTGCTCCTCCCTGTCTATATAAGCCCCCCTTGTCTCTGTGTTCTTGTCGGTCCATTAATGTTTGCTTGTTGTTCTTGTCAGCCTCGTCTCGTTCCTGTTCCTAGCTTCTAGTGATTCCAGTGTTTTCTAGTTCTCTGAAGGTTTTTGATTACTCAGTTTAGATTTTTGGATTTTTTGGTTTGGGCTCCCTGCTTCTTGGACTACTCCTAATAAAGGATTTTATTTTCATCATCCACCTCCTGCCTCGTTCATCTGGTTTTCTGCATTTTTGGGTCCTAAAACATCCTACCACATCAAATCCTGACATCCCTTTGCAACAAAACCCTGCCATCACATATTGTAACATGTTCCCAAAATGGACCCCTTTCTTTCATTTGGTAAACACAGCCACATTTTCACATGACACACACATACCATTCATTGCTTAAACACAAGTAGCCTTTGGGTGAACACTACCAAGCATGGAAAGAACACTGAAGAGCAAAACTGAAAACACAATTGTCTAAATGGAACACAATGAATTACACACTGAATGTATGACAGTGCCCACTTTTCTCTGAGACAAACATTAGACATCACACAAATTTTGAGACAAAACATTTTATTTTTACAGTCCCCCCCCCCCCCCCCGCCACCCCCACCCCACAGATTTTGAGACAAAACATTTTATTTTTACAGGTACCCCTCCTCACCCACCCCCCTACCGCCCACCCCACCCC